GGGGAATAATGGAGGCCTAGTAGATATTTAATGAGAGATTATTTCTGAAGATTATAAGGATACAGACATTGCAAATAAATCCCTGACCTTTTCTAAGCCTTGGCTCAGTGAAAGAGCTGAATCACCTGCTTGAGGGGATTAAGGACAGCCGCTTCCATCTGGCAGGCCACTTTCTCTGTCATTTACAGACTGCTTGGTGGTGACAGTGTTCTAAATCTTTTACTGGGAATTCACTTTTCAGAGTAAGAGATCTCAATTAATTTAGATTATGTACCCAGTGGGCAGAGATCAGGACCAAAGATCTGGTTAAGTGTGCACTATAGTTCCTATCATGTAATGGTACTGAGTCCATGTTAAATAGTTGAGTACTTGTTAATTATTAGTAACCTAGTCACAATGTCAGCAGGAAAGTCAAATTGATGAAGTGTGCGTGTGTCTGTGTGTGTGTATAAGAGACAAAGAGAGATGGAGAAATGCCAGGGCAGTGGGCAGCAGATAATGTAGTAACTTGTACCGGTTCTAGTTTAGAGATTTAGAACAATGGTTGCTAAATTGTATTTCATGAACTTTTGTATGATGTGAATTTTATTTCTTAACACAGTTTTACCTGCTTACTGGACTGTAAATATCAACAATATGCAGCTGTAATACAGTAGAGGCTAATAGAGTTACCTTTAGTCCTTTGTGTTTGGCTTTACAATATGTAAATACTATATTCATTTGAACTTAGGCACCTAAGATTACTGATAAATACTATGTTATGTATATTAAGCATAAGGCTTTATGTGTAAATCTATATAAAGGAGTTTGCTAACTTATAAGAAATTAGAGAAACTCTAAAATTTACATTTATTTAGTGACCCAGTGCAGAGGTTTTGCTTTGCCATTTTCTAAGAGAAGTAATTGTAGTTAATGTAGATTGGTGCAATTTTATTTTTTTCTGGATACATTAAAATATTCAATACATTGTTTTCCACTTACCTAGAAAAAGATTACACTTCTTCACTTTCTATTTAAAAAATAAAGTCCAAGGCCGGGGATTTCGCTCAGTGGTTCCAGCGCCTGCCTCACAAGCACAAGGTCCTGAGTTTGATCCCTGGTACCAAAAAAAATTTTTAAAAATTAAAAAATAAAATAAAAGATAAAAAATAAGACCAAGAACTGAATTGCATCTGAAAAACTCTGTCCAACTGTGTCTTTAGGTTTTCTGCTAGTTGGGCTGGTGACTCATCTTCTGACCACTGAGGCCATTTCTGTATCTCTGTTGCTAAGTTCTTTCCAGTTTTCCAAAACTTTTATCGATGCTTATGGGTTAAGGAAATGGTCTTTGTCCAGGACAAAATTAACTATGTCTAAAACAAGACAATGTTGACAACCTCCTTCTAAAACATCCAAGTCTGAGATCAGTCTCAACAGCTCCCCAGAGCCTGTGCAAAATGTCACTTATTTCTTTCTTCTTTGAAAAGAATCCCTTTGAAAAGATTCTCTGCAGTACTTCTCAAAAGAAGAACTAAAAGGCTTCAACCAACTTCTGAATCATAGTTATAAACATTTTGGAAACCTTCTTAGACATAAAAAGTAATTCTTTGTCTTTCCAGTTCTATTCTTACTAGTGGCTAAAGGAATAAAAATTCTCTCCTGTGCATGAAAAGATGCCCAACACCATTAGTCATTGGGGAGATGCAAATCGAAACCTCAATGAGATGCCTCTTGACATCTATAAAGATGGCTATAATACAGAAAATAATAACAAATATCGGCAAGGATGTGGAGAAATTGGAACCCTCATACATTGCTGGTGGGAGTGTAAAACAGTACAACTGCTTTGGAAAACAATTCAGTAGGTCCTCAGAAAGTTAAACATAGAGTTACCCTATGGATCAGCAATTCCACTTATGGCTATATACATGAGAGAAATCAAAATATATGCTCTAGGGGCTGGGGATTTAGCTCAGTGGTTCTGACGCCTGCCTTGCAAGCGCAAGGACCCGAGTTCGATCCCTGGTACCAAAAAAATATATATATATATATATATGCTCTTACAAAGACTTGTACGCTGTTATTCATAGTAGTAGTAGTGTTTTAGCTGTAAAGTAGAAATACCCCAAATGTCTATTAGCTAATAGATAAATGAAATGTACTATATACATACAGTGGAATATTATTCAGTCTTTTTTAGTTTTTATTTTTTATTAGTATGTACATAATGATCACATTTCTATTGGAGAGTTGGTGCATATGCACAACACATTTCAATTCTTTTTTCTTTTACCCCCCCATCTCTTTGTCCTCTTCCCATTTGCAAAAGATCTATCTTCCTAATTCCTTTATCTTTTACTTTGCTATTTATTTATTTATTTATTTATTTATTTATTTATTTTATTCTTAAGTTCTTTTATTGGTACATTTTAGGTGTACAGTATGTTTACATTTATCATTGGGTGCTTGTACCTGTACATGATGCTTCTTGGTTCTTACTTTTTCCCCGTTACCTGTGCGCCCTTTACCCCCTCCACCCTTCCGTATTTACATAGACTTCATTTCCATTTTTTTTTCTTTTCTCATAATTTTTCCTTTCCCTTCTTTCCTTTCCCCTTCCCCTCCAATTACTCCTACCCCTTTGGAGCTTTCTTCCTATTTCAAATTATCAATTATTCATTTTAATCATTTTAATCTTTATTTATGCTTTCAGTTTCTCACACTAGAGAAACTATTTGCTCTTTATTTATATTTTGGGTTTCTCATATTTGAGAAACCACACAATATTTAAGCTTGTGTGTCTGATTTATTTCACTTAATGTTATGGTACATTTGTTTTCCTACCAATGATTCAAGTTTATTCTTCTTTATGTCAGAGCAATACTCCATTGTGTATAAATACCACATTTTCTTTATCCATTCAACTGTCGATAAAGGGGAATGAAATACTGTTGCTATTCAGGATCTAAGAGAGACCTTGAAAACATAATAAGTGAAATGACACATTTTATGATTTCATATATGTGAAGTATACAGAATAAGCAAGTCCACAAAGAAGGAAAGTAGATTTGTGGTTGCCAGCAGTGGGGGAAGGAAAAATGGAGAGTTATTGCTAGTGTGCATGGTTTTGTTTTGTTTTGTTTTATTTGGGTGGGGAACAAAATGTTCAGGAGTTAATGATAATTAGTGCATAGCTTTGTAAATGTGGGAGAAATGACTGGATACTTAAGATGGATGAGCTTCACGGTATATGAATTATATCCATAAAGCTGTTAATTTAAAACAAAAAATTCTTCCCTGCATTCCAACAGGAATTTGGCTTGTAAGTTAAATCTTGTTACTGTTTTTGAAAAATGTTTACTGCAGGGGTTAATTGAGTTTCACCTGGAAAAATTGTCTCAGTCTGGTTTGCAGTTTCCTGTCAGAAAATGTGAGATACTGTATCACTATTTGCAAAGTAAATACTGGTTCATACTGAAAAAACTAGGGTTGACTTAGTAGGCTTCTTACTGAGTTAAGGGAATAAGAAGAGTGGCTTGGAGAGCAGGTAATTTCCAGGGAAAAGAACATTGTTTTCCTGCTTCTCTTTAGTGTTTATTATCCTAGAGGCTGAGTGTGTTTATAACAAGTACCACTAAGCAGTGAGTATGCACAGAAGTACAGGAGCTGTTTCACTTTGGAAATGAAAGTTTGAGCAAGTTAGCATTCCATTTTAGATTGATCATGGATATTCTTAGCGATTTAAAAAACTTTTAAATTTTTGTTAGATCTGAGTCTACCCATATATACTAATGGTTAGAGAATGATTTCATTTGGATAAATTCCATGATGAAGTTAGGTTCTGTTTGACAAATTTGTTGCTTGGCCTGTGTGATCACAAATCTCTTGTAAATTCTTACCTTCCTACTCTGTAGCACTTCCTTCTTAACTCTGAACAGTAAGCTGCAGAGTATCTGCCTAATATCCTAAAGTCAAAGATGAACCCATTCTTGAAGACTACCACACACATTTTATCACTGGGTTGAGTTTTGGTAGATTTACAGCCTCTACAGTGCTTTAGAAACTGGTTCTCCACTATGGAAAAAGTTGCTGATATGGATCATTTACTTTCTGAGTGACATCAGTGGGTTTTGAAGCAGATGAAGAAGCCTGTCACCACCTGCTGATTTACCATGTGGAAGGCTGACTTTTCTGCCTTAGTGCTTCTTCGTCAGGTTGTTCTTTGTTCTTGGCTCTGATTTTCCTCTGAATTTCTCTCTCCCTCCCTTCTCTGTCCTTCTCTTTCCTTCTCCTCTTTTGTTTCTCCATTTTTACTTTTCCCTAGTCACTTGAGCAGGATTATCTTTTAACTGAAAGTTGCATGTAAGGCAGCTTGGTGATACCGGCTCTGGAGCAAGTCTCCACATTTCGACTTGACATCTTTGATCAAGATATTAACCAGTCCCAGTTTCTTCATCTATATTACAGTGATGGCGAACCTTTTAGAGCTTTCAATTGATACAAACAGCCAGCTGTGGCACGCTTGCCATAGGTTTGCCACCAGTGGTCTATAATACAGGGCTAATGGTATTATCCTGGAGGACTTGCTATGATTAAATGAGGTAATTTATATGAAGCACATACCCAAAATTTATAGCTCACTTAAGTTTAGCATTTTGAAGGAGACCATAGTCAGTCCTACTGTTCTAGTTTAAGGGTGCCTATTACTCTGTGCTACAGTTTCTTCCACTATAAATTGAGGATAGTGTTGCAGGTTCCTATAACTTGAAGTTATTATGAGAACTAAATAAAGTAATGCACACAAAACACTCAGCACGTACCTGGCATATGGTAAGCTATCAGTCAGTGCTAGCTATGTTGTAATAATTATTTGTTTACATTTTTGTTTTTATCATTACCATGGGAAGAATGAGAGGACATGTGGCCACACCATGTGATTGTCTCGCTATGGATTGGTCAAGCGTTACCCCAAGATTAGTTTGCACGGCTACAACTTGACTGCCCTCCTCTTACTCTTTCAGCTGCGCAGTTGGACAGCATTGGCTTCAGCATTATCAGGAAGTGCATCCATGCTGTGGAAACCAGAGGTAATGTGGTCTAACAGATGCCATTGTTCTCACTACCTGCTGTTTCCCAACGTTGAGTGACTCATTAACTCCCCTAGTGCCATTACCAGTGTATTTCCATAGGCCACATCTGAAGCAGAGGTTATCAAGCTATTTTGTGTCATTAACTTCCTTGGCTGATCAAAAGAATATTTTAAATGCGTACATATAAAATACACAGGCTTATACAAATCAGTTACTGAAATTCAGTTATTAAGATACTTAAAAACATGATTGTGGTGTAGTAATGTATCAATTTCTTTGTTACCAAGCTCTTTCGTAAGACATAGTGGTGGATCTGATAACTGGAAGTACTGTTTCAAGCTGTCGGTAACAACTCAGTATGTTTTTGAAAATATCTGTGATTTCTGACCAAGTGGCAGGTATTGTTAATGCTAGTGTAATTTATTGCTAATGGAAGGAAATGTGTAATGTCAGTTATAGGTTAGTGAAAATGAAGATGCAATTATTTTCCTGTTTAATTCATGGGCCCCTGAATCCTCTGCTGTGAATTGTGTCTTAGAGTTGAGACTGAGTCGCTAGGAAACCATTCACATAGTGGAGCCAGGCCCCTGTTGCCCATTGACCTTTCCTGGGCCCACTGACCCAAGACCCTGAGGCTAGGAGGCTGGTTCACCCTGTAGTCTCTCCCCAGACACTGCCACAGAGGAGCGTCCTGACAGTGTGGCGCTTAGGATGCACTGGTCTCTTGTGTTCTGAGCTAAACTATTAACATCTTTCTACTAGATTTGATTTGTAAGCTTGTCAGAGATGTAAATCTCACTTATTTACAGTCACCACACCTACCAGCCCTTTTTATTTGTTTAAAAGAAATTCTTTTAAAGCATGGTCCATAACTCTTACCAATTGGAAATGCAAAACTTTTTTTAAAATAAAGGCTATGAAGCATTGAATAGAGGAGGAGGAAGAAATACACCTTTTTTGAGCCTCTGCACCCATGTATCTTGCCGAAAGATTTTCTTTTTAAAGTAATTATTTTCATGTATGGAAGCGTTTTGTAAAATATTTGCTTATTTCTGTTGCATCTCCCTTCAATAGGGTCAAGACAGCTTGGGAAAAATACATAAAATACACCCAGAGAACATACAGTAGAAGTAGGTAGGAATTGATCTTGAAAGAAAAGGATTTAGACCAGATTGAGCCATAAAGATGTTCACACAATGGTGTGGTTGAGTGAGAAACTGGCCAAATGTCTCAAAACTTGCTTAAACCAGCAGTGGTTCATCTATGCAGAAAAAAACTATGAATCGCTGAAATTGTAGTGGAAGTACATTTTTTGACATCCAACATTTTCTTAATCATATATTTTAAATGAGAAAATGTACTTACGAAAAGCTGCCCACTCCAAGCCCACTCTAGGAATGGTGGGGAGAAAGTGCATCCAGTTATGCATTTGTCCTTGTGTTATAGATGGTTCTCTCTGCTGCCTTTTACTGGCTTTGATTTGTCTGTTTGTTTTAACTATGTCTTAATATAAACTTTTGGAAGTATATATTGCTAAGGTAGCTTTTCAACAGTTTAAAATGTTTTTTCGTTTGAAAAGAAGAGAATGAGAAAGGAGTACAGATTTAACAAAGAGGCAAGAAGAAGAATGGAGCCAAACATGAATCCAAAACACCCTCTGCCCAATGAACTTTATACATTTGTCTAAGGTGGATCACCTGTCTGTCTCTCAGTCTTCAGCAACCAAAACCAAGAGGGAAATCTAAACATGTAAAGGTGTTGACAGAATTTGTGATAAATGCAAACCAGTAGCTTGGAAGGACAGCCTTTTCTGATAGAAAACTAGAAAATATATGCAATAGCATGTAGCAGTAGCAAAAGAGGATCACACACTACATAGCCTCTGCCTCCTTGTTCCTTCCCTTCTCTAAAATAAGGATGAAAATGATATGTTTGAACTTCTAAAAAAGGTTTCACTTAGCACAAAGAAGAAATAAGGACAGTGTGAGTTAAGTTAAATGTCATTTTAGTACAAATAGTTGAAGTGGTTATTTTTCTACTATAGTGCATTTATGCACACACATATCTGTAATGCCTAGCGATGAACAGACATCCCATACTCTCTGGGATTCATCAATAATTGTCCAGCAGTGGGAGCTAGGATCGTGTAACGTCCTAGGAAAACATAAAGATAAAAGAAGTAGAGTCATTGCAGATCTTTCAAGCCTTTAGGCTGACACATTACTGAACAAATTCTCTGCCACTGACTAATGTGTGTCCCATGCATAGCTTTTGGCCAGAGCCTCCTAGCTCAGGAACTGTGAATGATGTGTGATTTTATAGGTCCTTTTCTACTGTAAAGTCCTATCATTCCAGACTATTTCCTTTTATTTATTAATTCCTCTTCTGTATAGGTCTTGTTGAAGATACTGCAGAATCAGACCTTTCTTAAATTTCTTCAGAAAAAAATATCATTTCAGACATTGTTAATTATAATAATAGAAAACAGAGTTAGGAAATGTCTGGGAGTGTTGGCCATGGGGACATTGCGGTATATGAAAGAAGTTGTGCTTGAGCTGAAATCTGCATGATGAAAAGAAGTGGGAAAAGAGTGAGCCAGGTAGTGGAAATGGCTAGAGCAGTAGTAGCGAACCCTTTAGAGCTTTCAGTGATAGCAAACAGCCCACAGGGGCATGCATGCCCTAGGTTTGCCACCACTGGGCTAGAGCATAGGCTGTGAGGCAGGGTCCAAGTTAGTGTGTTAGCATGAGTGGGGTGGCTGATGATGTGGTCAGAAGTGGCCTGGTGCTCAATGGGATAAGCCTCGTAGGCTACCATAAGGTTTACTTATGTTCTACATGTAATGGGATTCTCTTGAAAGGTTTTAAGAGAAGAAATGATATGAATTGATTCATACTTTAAAAAATTCACTTTGGTTAGAAAATGGACAACAGGGGAATAATATAGGAAGCAGGAGACCAGTACTTAAGGGGTACCAGATACGATGGGCCTCGGACTAACAGGAGGAACATCATTTCAGATCCCTGATCTAAATTGCCCCCTTTGTAAATGATACAGTGGTGCTTTAATCTGTGCATTTAAATGATCAGAAGTATGATTGTTAGTTTCTGTTTCTTTGTTTAAATGTTTAAAAGTAAAGTCTTTCTAGTCTAATTGCATAGTTCCTTGGATTCACTGAAGGTAGTCTTCTTGTTTAATAAAGAATATTTACATTACAGATGAATGGATGTTCTAATTTTTCAGTCTCAGACAACATTTCTCAAAATTATGAATGTCCTTACATTTTAATATATTTATTCTATATGTAAAATAAATTATAAAAATATCTCCTTTCTGTTGTATGGATTGTTATCATGTCATCTTTGGCTTTTTAAAATTAAAAATTGGTTAAATATGACATCTTTAAAAGAATATATTTTGCATCTTTTAAAATGCTTCAGATGCTGCATTTGGCAAGAGAAGAGGAAAGTTTCTTCCCCCTCTGATGGCTGAGCTAACACAAGGGCTGAAGTGTGCAGCACATCCATGAAATCCTAGACAGCTGTACCAAATCCCACTCCTTTGCTAAGAGCTGAGCTGAGTGACAGAGGACTTTAATTAGAGCAGCTTTTAGAAGGACTGAGAAAATGAAAAGAAAAAAAAAAAGAGCATGTGGCAGTGTTTGCCTGACTTGTGTTCTGACCTGCCTCTAATTAAATCATCATTGTTTCTCTTTTCAGGGATCAATGAACAAGGACTCTACCGAATCGTAGGGGTCAATTCCAGAGTGCAGAAGTTGCTGAGTGTTCTAATGGGTGAGTGCGGCAGTGACTCTGCCAGGCAGGTCTCTGGGGGAGCCACTCTGAAAAGTCACCAGGTCCCTGAGTAGGGCTAGTGTCTGGGGAAGGAATCAGGGTGTTCATGAGCTAAGGCCCAGAATTCCACGGCCCTGTTTGCCAGTTGTCATGACTACAGGCATTACTGGGAAAGATTCTCAGTGAAACTGTACAAGATAAAAAAATAGCAGGTCCCAGGCACCACACCCTCTCTGTATCCTCAGCCACTGGCAGTCCAAGTGGAGCTTGATCGCTCATGTGACCACCACACCCTATTCTGTCTTTAATAGCTCATGAGTCCCTCTGTTTTCTTTTACTGCAGATATTTAGTGGGACACACCCAGTGCCCAAAGCAGGGCACCATTCTTTCCTGCAGAGGACATGTTGCTGTTACTGAACATGTCACGTAACTCCCAAATAAGGTGGATATATGCAGACAAATCTTCCGTCCTCTCTGCTTCTCCATATCAACCTAGACCTAGTCACTTGAGCAGGAGAACCACCTTTGCCATTGGCTGATACAAATACAAAACCACTGTCTCCAGATGTGCAGTATTTGAATCAAAAACTCGTGGTCCACGGGCCAAATTTACTTAGGGTGCAGATTTCCTATATTTTTAGATATGAACACAGCCTGCCTCAGTGAGTCACATGGATCTAAATGGCAAACAGATCAGATTTCACAGATCACTGGCTGTTCTCCATTTCCATGAAGCCCCAGGCGTGCACTTGTAAAGCTGAACTATCACTCAGGGTTCTAGCTCTGTGTTCTGGGCAAGGATGGTTCTTTTTTCAGTGTTTATAAGGATTTTTGCCATGCCAGTTTCTGAAAATGGCTTTCGTATGTGAAAAAACCTCTTCTCTCATGTGGGCCAAATGACTGTTTTCTTCCTTTAACAGAGCTGCTTACCCTTTGTGGGCAAACTCCTATGGTATCACTGGTTACAGTAAAAATCTGTTTAAAACTGTGACTCTGGGGTATTTAGCACTGAGTATCTGTTTTTCAGTTCAGACTTTCATTTTTTAAATTAAACTTTATATTTTGAGACAATTGAAGATCACATGCAATTGTGAGAAATGATAGGGAGAGGTCCTTTTACCCCATTTCCCAGTTCACTGCAATGATAACATCTCGGAAACATTTCAATATCAAAAACCAGGATATTGGGCCGGGGATTTAGCTCAGTGGTTCCACTGCCTGTCTTGCAAGCACAAGGTCCCAAGTTTGATCCCCGGTACCAAAAAAAAAAAAACAACAACCAAAAACCCAGGATATTGACAGTGATGCATCAAGATGCAAAACATTTCCATTATCATAAGGATCCCTTATGATGGTCTTTAATGGCTACACCTGTCAGTCTCACCCCTATTTTACCTCCCATCCCTAAACCTGGCAACCCATAATCTGTTCATTATTTCTCTAATTTTACCATGTCAAGATTGTTATACAAATGGAATCATACAAGCCTTTTGGGATTGGCTTTCTTTTTCAGTCAGCCTAATTCTCTCAAGATTTATTCAATTTATTTCATTTAACAATAATTTGTTTTAGATAAATTGACTGATTTTTTTTTTTTTTTTTTTTTTTTTTACTGCTAAGTAGTATTCTACGGTATGGATGTACCAAAGCTTGTTTACCCATTCCCCTATTAAAGGACATCTGACTTGCTCAAAGTTTGAAGCTATTATGAGCAAAGCTGCTATAAATATTTCTGTGCAGCCCCCCCCACCCCCTACTGGGGATTAAATTCAGGACCTTGTACTTGCCAGGCAGGTACAGCACTGCTGAGCTACGTTCCTGGCCCCTCTGTATATTTCTGTATGAACATATGTAACAAAATACCTGGGAATGTCAACCTGAAACACAAAGGGTTTATTTTGGCTCACAATTTCAGTTTTTGGGCTGGCTCCATTGCTGTGGGCCTGAAGTGAGGCAGAACATGGTAGAAGGGCACAGCCGAGCAGAGCTGCTCGTCTTATGACTTCCAGGAAGCAGAGAGAGAGGAAAAGAGCCAGAGAAGAAGGAGCCAGGTACCTGATATAGTCTCAAGGTCATGCCTCCATGATCCACTCCCTTCAGCTAGGCCCCTCCTCCTAATCACCCATGTAGCTATGACCTATCAGTGGATTCCTCTGTTGATCTGATCACTTCCCAAAAGCCCCATCTCTGAAATTGCTGGATTCAGGACCAAGCCTTCAACACAGCAGGTCTTCTGGGGGGATATTTTAGATCCATAACAACATACATTTGTTCTTCTAGGATAAATGCTCAACATGTAGTTCCTGGGTCATATGATGATAATGGCTGGCTTTTAAGAAACTGTAATGTAAGGAAGATTTAAAGAGTCTAGTGGGTCAGGGATGTAGCCCAGCCATAGGGCTTGCCTATGATGTGCAAAGCCCTGGGTTTGGTCCCCAGTACTGCAAATAAAAAGGAAGAAAAAGTATATGCAGTTCAAGCTTAGGATGTAGCTCAGTGGTAGAGCACTCCACCTAGCACATTCCTGAGGCCCTGGGGTCCATTCACACCACCACCACCAAAAAAAAAAAGGCTAATAGGTTATCAACCCTCAGTCTTTTATTTCTGATCAGTTTCAAACATTTGTGGGATATCTGTTCTCTGGGACAGGTTGTCAGGTGCTGGAGATTAAGCTTTATGAAGAGCTTGTACCTTTCTGCAGAGTCCTGCTAGGGTGAGATGTGCATGCATCTGAAAACTATGGAGTAAAAATATGTTAGCACTTAAGAAGAGTGAGTCTGGGGGATTTACTGGAGGGTAAAGTGGAAGAATAAATCAGATTCAGAGCATATTATTAGCAGTTGGCATGGGGGAAATAAGAGTATGTGGTGGCTAATAGCAGAGGATGTGGGTTTTTTGATGATTATTATTTTAATATTTGAAAGAACTGCTTGAGGCTGGGAAAGGAAAATTGAAGGTGGTGTCTTGTTGAAGAACTTGAATACTGTGCTAAGGAGTTTGGGTTTTGTTTTGTTTTCCTAAAGGAAATAAGGTGTGGGGTACATATGGGGTTAGTTCATGGACCCTGTGGACTGAGCAACATTATTGATAGAATGGTGATGGGGGAGTGCTTTCTTGAAATAATGGCTGTGAATGGAAAAGAAGTATGTCCAACACTGGTGTGCAAGGGTCAGATTCTAGTTTCAGGAGGATAACCCAGGGGCAATGTGAAGCATGTATTAGTATTTGGCACAGAAAGACATGGAGGAAGAAGAGTTGCAGTAAATTAGGCAGAGAATACCCCATCAAGGGCTTAACCAGATAGCTAGCCCAAGATCAGGAAAAAAGCACAGGCTCACAATGATTATAGAGAATCAACAAGACTTTGTAACTAGCCAGATGTGGGGGAGTGGAAGGGGCAGCGAGATTTCAAAGATGACAGATGCTTATGTAAGGTGACACTAGTGAAAAGAAATATGACATTTTAGACTACTTTGCTAATCTAAAAAAGAACTATCTTACTTCTCTTGTGCTGAGCAAAAGAGTGATTTTGAAAGGAGTTGTTTTTATCACTTTACTTAGTGGCCCTCAAACAAGGGATTTTTTTCTCTTCCTCAGTTTTTCTGAGCTAGAGAAAATAATTGTGAAAAAGTAATACCTGGTGGCTGAAAGTCACATGGCCAGCTCCCTCTGCCAGGAAATATTATAGATAGATTGGAATTCAAACTGAAATCCAGCCAGAGCTGAGAGATGATGACCTGAGAGCAAGATTGATCCTGAGATTGAGACTAGTAACTGAGATTCTCCCTACCAGTAAAGCTTGGGTCTTGCAGTTGAGAATCTATATACTGTACTAGGCCACAGCCCCAGGCCCAAGTCTGTCTCCCTTCTCTTTCATGAACATCCTTGTACCTTCATCATTTGGTCTTGGTATTGGTCTGGGCTAGCCAAAAGTACAAAATAAATGCGGCTACTGTATTGCAAAACCTTTCCTTGACATGGCTGGGCTCTATGTAAATCATGCACTCTTCCTTTGTTACATGTCCTCCGAATGCCCTGTTATGTGCTAGGCATTGTGTAAGAGTTGCATAATTTGTCTGAAGCTCTCAAAAGTGGAATATTATATTGTGGTTCTTAAAAGTGTGGCTTACAATTAAAACCAGAGACTAACTTTGGTCATGAGTTTATTTTTTGTGCTCTTAATACACTGGGAGACTTAGGGTGGAAGAGGAAGATGAGCGTCCATGCTTTGAGACTATCTTTGTTTTACTGATTTAGATTCCCTAAGAAAGCCTTCTAGAAGGCCCAAATGTAGCTCAGTGGCACAGCATCTGCCTGGCGAGGCCCTGAGTTCGATTCCTGGTACCAAAACAGAAAAAAGGGGACAAAAAAGAAAACCTTCTAGACTTCCTCATAGCAAATGCAGTGTCATACTGCACTTCATTCTGGCGTTGGACCAAGAGCTAGTCCTGGTCTCTTCCTCCTCGCAACTGAGGATATTAGTCTTTGGATAGTGAAAAGGACTCAGAAAGACTTGCAGACTCCCCAAAATAGAATCCCTTCTCTCTGTGTTTTGTTTTTCCCCCTTGAATATTAAGTGAAGATAAATATTTCCAAATTTTAGCCCATTTTTAATATGTCAATCAGCTATAAATATTACTGTTTAGTGTATGTCTGCCTCTTTTCTTTTCTCACTACTTATATTTTATATAATTATTTTTTCTGATTAAAAGTTGCAAGGTCATTGTAGAGAATGTGCAGAAATGAAAAGTAGGAAAAAGAAAATAAGAGACAAATCAGAGATAAACTGTTTTTGTTTTATCATATTGAATCAGATCATTTTACCATATCACCTTTTTAAGTGTAGTATTGTATAAGATTATAATATAAATACATATCATGTACAATAGTAATACACTTACAAAATGAAGCTCACACTGTGCATACAAAATATGTAGTATTTAAATAACAATTTATTGCAGTAAAAGACACATTGCCATTAAAACCCTTCAAAATACAC